AAAAGACTGGCTCTAGTTTAACATCAGTCAATTTTGACTGGTTTGTGTAAGTGATTCTAGTGTTAAAATGTTAAACTCGAAACGTGGATCGATACTTGTTTCTGTGAACAAGGTCATTGGCTTTTACTATACAGAGATAAATCGACGAGGAGAGTTGGTTTCTCCTCCCTTCCAATGTTGGTTCGATCTTACACTATTCACTATCTTACGACATTTTTATTACGTTAACGATTTATCTCGTGTGTACCATAAATGCATTCGTATTAAATACTAAAACCTACCGATAATTTTATGCATGCGCCTATTTGTATCCTAACCGGTCGCATAATAATAATTGGGTCTTTCGAACGAATTTAGATTATTTTGCAATTTAATACGAGTTACGAAATCGATTTAAATATTGAATATTAAATGATAAACACACACACACAGACACAGTGCATAGATAATAATTATATATAATATGTTTATTATTATTATTATAATTATTATATGTGAATTTTATTTGACGTATATTTATAAAATTGCACGTTTACAGTTATTATGGTGTGTAAATAAGAAGCAACACAGTAAAACTCTCGCTTTTCTTATCTATATTCTATATCCTTCTCTTTACTATAAGATAAAAAGATCGTTGAGATGATAAAATTCGGTATACACTATAATAACTAGACAACGTAGTCTCGTGTCGTTATTGTCATCGCATAGAACAGGTGTAAGGAAGTATATTCTTGGCACAAAGTGCATCAACACGCGATCTGAATGACCTCCTTGTGTTTTACCTTCTTCTCTTCTTCCTCTCCTTCTTTTATCGGAGATCCAAAAAGAAAAAGAAAAAAGAAAAGAAAAAAGACTGTAGTTTCTCTTGTCCCATGATAAAACGTTTACTAAAAGGCCACATATGCATGCATACACAAACACGTATAGAGACAAGAAAAAGTATCCATAAACATTTATGTCCTGTAAGAGTAGAAATATGACGTTAACGATACGTCAATCGATCTTTTTTTTCTACACATATTTACAATATAAAATATAATCACACTGATGGAATCTCCTCCTCCCCCTAAGTAAAATACATTGAACGTTAAATTCGTTTGCCAGTCCCTAAGCGATTTGACTCGTTGAAATTTTCGTTCTAGCTCGTTAAATTCTACTCATCGTCGTTCGTGCTCGTAAAATACTAAACCAGAGGAGAACGAAATAGCGTCATCGTATAGAAACATTTTGCGTGGGTTGTCAGATAATTACACGTAAAAACGTGTGTTACAGCTTCCACGTTCACGTATAGGCATGTATACGAGATGAGTGTCTGTGTGTGTGTGTGTGTATGCGTATCCATATTTTCATAATATATGCGTGTGGTGTTTAGATTACTATCGTGATATCGTGCGATTATTGTTAGATGAAAAGATAACTATTTCTTAAATTTTCGATGTACATCAATTTCCTGAAATTTCAAATAAAACACATCTCGTGCAAGTTTAGCAAATTAGTATTGACCTTTAAGAAACGGTTTAACCTTCGTTGCATAGAGGAAGAAGAAAAAGAAAAAGAAGAGGAGGAGTAGAAAGGGGAAAGGGGAGAGACATTTTGACCTATGACATACCAATCTTATATGCATGTGATGCATTGAATATTGTCTATAACATTTAACGATTTGAGATATTTTTAATGGGAATTATTATTTTAATTCAACGCGATATCAATGCAGCAAAATAAGGAATTTAAGAAGTTGTATAATTAAGTATTTTGCAGTATAATAATAATGATTTTTTCATTCTCCAATACTATGGGATATTTAATTTATTATGTTCATGTGAGTTACTGTGATGGATGGTTTCCTTTTTCATAAATGCAAGTATAAAATGTATAACGAATTAGAAGTTTTGTCGCAATGTAATATTATTTGTAATTATAAGAAAAATAATATGCGATGATTTGCAATTAGAGATAAAAAAAAAAAGAAAAATATTAATGATTGGTTTTCGTGGAAATAGAAAGAAAAAAAAGTTAATGTACAAAGTTTAGAGATCCAAGCTAATAGATCTTCGAAGTCGTCCAAGTAAAGTAGACCACGACCACATCATTGTTGTAGATATCCACGATGGGTAACACGAACTATAAAGAGTTGAAAATAAACTAGTTCGAGCTAGGATAGATCTCTTTTCCTGATACGTATGTATAAAAGCGTTATACTCGTGCGAGTTGCATATGCACACCATATGTATCTAAGGTATGCGCATATTTAATTCGAGGGAGAGAAACAGAAAAATAGGACAGTTAGGAAGACAGGAAAAAAAAGGGATGATGATGATGATGATGATGATGATGATGATGTTGATGATGGGGTTGTAAAATAAAATAATAAACAAAAAAGTAAAAGCATGGACGCGACACGACACGTGGGAGGATAATTTTACGACATTTGTATTTATTAGCATTTCAACCGTCCTACGATTACTATGACATTTTATTTAAAATATATCTTATACTTATCTCACAAAGTAAAATTATACACGCGAGGGAAGGAATACAATGAAATATGTTAAATCACATATTGTATAATATAAAAAAAAGAAAAAGAAAAAGAAAATTTTAGTATAAATTTGAAAAATGTGTAATTGAAGACACGTTATATATTTTTCTGAAGTAAATTAAACACCATTTGATGTAACAACACAATTCCTATATAATAATATTAAAAGAACATAAGATAGTAATTTTAATGTGAACGATAATTGAAGGTGGTGGTCTTTTTATTTAGGTAAAAAAAATAAAAAGAAAGAAAGACAGAAAGAAAGAGAGAAAGAAAGAGAGAGAGAAAAAAAGAAATGTAATGTTAAAACACGTTCGCGGTAGGACGTCGCGTCATGTATATGAATGACATGTAAATATATTCATGTGTATAGGTACAATGGTATATTATCGAGTAGGAAAAAAAAATAAAGAAAAAAAAGAGAGAGAGAGAGAGAGAGAGAGAGAGAGAGAGAGAGAGAGGAAAAAGAAAAAAATTATTCTGTACATTAAGTTGGCAAAGCAGCCGAGACCTCGATCGATCGTTTTCACAACGCAGGCGAGGTTAAGGGTGAGTAAGCACCAGGAGTCTACCTCCAACGAGAAATCTACGAATTATTAATCGATCGATCTCTTCTTTTCCCCCCTATCTGTCATTCTATTTATCTCTCTTTCTCTCTCTCTATCTATCTCTCTCTTTTTTTTATCTATCTATCAGTTAACGTTTATACACATCGATGATCCAACAGAATGTTCTCACCTCTCGTAAGAATCACATTCACATTTAACACGATTTGAAATGATATTCCGTCTTGTTAATAAGATAATTCAAATGTTTATAACAATTCTGTACATTTTATTTACGTTGTTTTTTTTGTAATGCTTATTAAAAAAACAAAAAAAAACAATAGGAAATAATTTTTACCGCGATATTTCTCGAGATATAAAAATAGTGTTTCAAAACACAATTCACATACGAATATATTTTATTTAAACTAAATTACTTTCTTTAGCAAAAGTATAACATTTTGCAAGTTTACGATAAATATTTGTAAGTTGAGAAACACTGTGTTCCATAGGGACACATAATCCAGGTATTTACACGAGTCTTTTTCATGTTTTTCCATGTGAAGTGATAACAAGTGATCACATCGTTGTCGTCACGAAAAACGATGGCTCTAGTTTCCCCCCTCCCCCTCCCCCACCCACCAAAGTTCTTTTTATTTTATTTTGTTCTCTCTTTCTTTCACATGTTTGTGCAGACTCCGTGTATCACAGTATGTACACGGTGGTAGTGGTGGTGGTGGTGTTGGTAGTCAACGAGCAGAACATAGTAAAGTAAAGTAAAGTAAAGTAAAGGAAAAGAAAGGAAAGAAAAGGAAAGGAAAGGAAAGGACGAAACACATACACACTCTCAAGTCACCGTGTATTCGGTCGATATTAAACTGCTCCAGCCACGAGTAGCTATTATAGGCGGCTACTTAAGCTGAAAGAGCTTTTAAAAGAGGGGGAGGCTTGCGGTAAGCAGGAAAAGCAAGTTCCGTTGGCATGTCATATCCGGTTATAAAATGACACATTTCGTTCGACCGCGATAAACATTGTAAAGAGAGAGAGAGAGAGAGAGAGAGAGAGAGAGAGAGAGAGAGAGAGAGAGAGAGAGAGANTAAAATGACACATTTCGTTCGACCGCGATAAACATTGTAAAGAGAGAGAGAGAGAGAGAGAGAGAGAGAGAGAGAGAGAGAGAGAGAGAGAGAGAAAGAGAGTAAAAGTGAGAGAAAACGAGAGGACAAATCTTACTGTTAAACAGAGAAAGAGTTTAATTAATATATATAAAGTGAAAAAGACAAAAAGATTAATTACCAGAGAGAGAAAAACGAAAAGATGAGTAATCATGATGAGAGAGAGTGAGTGAATAAACGAATGAGTGAGTAAGTGAGAGTATGAGTGAAAGAGAAAAGATAGAACAGGAGGAGAAAATAGGAGTAAGTAAGAAAAAGATAGATAGATAGAGAGAGAGAGAGAGAGAGAGAGAGAGAGAGAGAGAGAGAGAGAGAGAGAAATGAAGTTAGTAAGAAAGAGATGGTAGTAGTAAATAAGAGTAAGAGAGAGAGGGGGGAGAGAATTAGTTAGAGAAATAGGGATAGTAAATAGGAAAGAGAAGTAGATTTTCTTTCCTTTTTTTTTTATTTTATTTTCCTCTCACCTTATTCCCCCCAGACACTTGATTGCTTTCCATCTAGAAGAGGATGCTCAGATAGATGGGAAGAAGAAAAAAAAAAGAAAAGAAAAGTATTCTAGGTCTGGGGAAATAGTCTATTTATATAAGTATTTTACGGTCTATCGGAAGTAAATACTTTTTCGATTTCGTTCCCGACCCATAATTTCGTTTCCCTCTGTGGTATCTTGTAATATTCTCATTCCTCTTCTTTTTTACTTACTTACTTTCTATATATTTTTCTCTTTTTACTTTCTTTTTCCAGGAGCTGGTGAATCCGGCAAGAGTACCATCGTGAAACAGATGAAGTGAGTATTATAAATATATTCGTTTATATTATTATTATATAATATTTATATCTAACACATTGTGTGTGTATGGTACCTAATTATTTTAATCCCGTTGATCACTCCCTCCCCTCCCTCCTTCGACGTGTTCACTAAACTTCCGGTTTTTTTTCCTGATTCGATCACATATGTTTGTTCATATACTATAACATACTAACACGTACAGGTATATTAAATGTATCAATCTTTTATCTTACTTTTTTCCAAAAAATAGTTGTAAAGATGATGATGATGATGATGATGATGATGTTAGGACAAAAAGTTTCCTTTTCAAGTTTTTCATGTATCTCCTTTTCTACTTGCTTTCCTTTTTGTTTCTCGCGGAAGTGTAATATTTACAAAGAGTTATTCGCACGCGTGACAAACAATATAGGTTCATGTATGGGAGAACATTTCTCTAACACGCGTGTCATTACACTTTCGTTCCCACGGATTAAATATTTAGTTTTTAAAAACACCACGTGGAACTTTTCACACAAATCCCCATATATTTTTCTAATTAAATTCTTTTCTAATATTAATTATTATTGTATATTAATAAATATATATTTATTTTTTATATAAAATTATTACAGCATATAACATAGTTTAATAAATTATTCAATAATATAATAATGCACGAATATATATATATATGTAATGTATATGTATGTATATATTGTAAATAAGCCCTATTATAATATCATATTATTATATATGCATATATTATGTTGCATATACGCGTACATATGTGTATGTAAAAAAAAATACATGGCAAGTTTATAAGAGCAAACTGTTGCCCTTCGTTCGTTAGTTCGTGCTTCAAAATCGATATTTGCACGTAACGATATGGGGAAAACCGTAGAGCATTACGCTTTTAAAGGGCAGCTGTGTGAAACACGTGCGCGAGCGCATTCACATCAAATACATAAGCAAAGAGTGAGAATGAGTGAAAGAGATAGGAAGTTATGTTAGAAACGAGACATAAACTCAAAGCCACCACGTACTATGGTTAGTGGATTAGCGTGTATACCATGAACCCCCTCTCCTTTCATTCTTTCTTTTCTTTTTTTATCTCATTTCCTCTCACCAAACTCGATCTATGTCTTTTCTGTTTCTACGAACGAATCCGTTTCTTTATGGGTTTCATGTTCTACGTAGAATTACTTTTTACCTTTGGTACTCGTTACGAAATTTTTAAACATTGCGTTGTTAATCTATTACCTATTTTTTCATATCTTTTTTTATTTTTGTTGTTGTTGTTGCGTCGACGTTTGATCGAATAATTTAAATCATACCTTTGTGTGGTGCGTGATTCAAACATTTTTTTCTTTTTTCTTTGAGAATTAATAGAAAGAAAAATAATTATTATTATAATTTGTGTTGTGATAGATCGAAGTGAAAATTTGTTTGAAGTATTTTAAATCTTGTTTTAGAAAATACTTGTAATATATTCTTCGGGAGATAAGATTTAACGTTGCAATACGAGTCCGAGAAAATAAATAAATAAATAAATAAATACATACATATGCATATATACATACATACATCCGTTTAAATAAGAATCGTATTTTTGTTCTCTTCAATATACTTATCTTGCGTTCTCAATCTTTTCTTTTTTATCTTTTTTTTTCCAGAATCATTCACGAAAGCGGTTTTACGCCGGAGGACTTCAAACAGTACAGACCCGTCGTTTATAGCAACACGATACAATCACTCGTTGCTATTCTCAGAGCGATGCCAACACTCGGATTAAATTTCTCTACCAACGAGAGAGAGGTATGTAAGTCATAAGAATAACCATTTTTTTTTTCTATATATATATATATATATATATAGGTACGAACATTCTTTAATATAATTATTAAAACAAGAAAATATTCTATCCAACTAATATCTCGTTAGAAAATCTATCGATCAATTCAAAATTTCAATTGATGGTCATCGAATTGTTTTTTGTGTTTGAATCGAAAAGTTTGCCCAGGCTACGTGAAAAAAATCAAAGAAACATTTGGCCAGTAAAAAGAGAAATTGTTTCTATGTTGAGGGTGAAAACTTGTCGAATCATCCCTCACCCCCCCCCATGCGTATATATTACGCAAAACGAGTTAAAAATTTCTAAACGATTTACACACACAAACGAACGAACACAAACAATAATTCGATTATATTTTCCGCGAAACATTTGAAGCTAATATATTTTGAATGTTGCGAGCTTATGTTAGACATTTTTCGTCTACTCAATAGTATAATTAAGAAAACTAATCGACGAGAATTTAGAAAGTCAATTAAAATATCACGCTCGAAAAAAGTAACGATGTCGAGGAGCGATGACAATCGTATACGAGCCGCAACAGGTGAGAAAATAATTAACTCGTCGGCTTGGCATCCTTCACGAGCGTTGCGCTTGAAGAATGTCGAGAGAACCGGGGTTGAAATATATATATATATATATAGGGGGTTGGTTTAAACTGAAACTTCGATCGGTGGTTGCTTTACATTTTTTTTTAAGCTAATAATTTGATTTCTTTTTCTTTTTTTTGTTAATATATGTATATATATTATATTCATGCATATGTAGTAACACATTCTATCGTTCGGGTATATAATATTATATCAAACGATCGATAATTGTGTTCATATTAAATCTTTATGGATAATCTAAACAATATCTGCCTCGTATATAAAAATATAATGTGATAGTGAACGTTCCATTATTCTTTTTCTATTAAATGTTTTTTAACCATTAGGAATCTAGTTCTTATTTAAATATATACATATATACAGTGAAAACATAACAACCATGAGAAATAAATTCATGTGGAATCAAAATTGATTGGATAAATTTTGAATCAAAAGAATAATGATGTGAACAATTTGTAATCCTATTATAGATATAATAATAAATGAATGAATGAATTAGACTTTTTTCGCACGATAAGATAATCGGGATCACTTTTGGCATCGATTTTTTTATTCAATATCGCGAAAATAAAATGTAAGAGAAAGATAAAAAGAAGTACTCAGAGAAATGGCGATAACGATATTATAGTTAGTTAAGGAAGCATAGTTTAATAAACGAACGTACTCGAGATTGGCCTTGCTCCGAAGAGCATGCTGTTAAGCACCATCCTGCATGCGATTTGCTACGGTTCGTCGATTATCTTATGAAGGAAGCATTCAGTGTTAAATCAACGGAGAAGGAAATCTCTACCGAATGTTGACGAAAAAAAAAAAAGAAAAAAAAAAGAAAACTAATAAAAAATGATTAATATACTTATAACGATTGAACACAATTAATTTGATTCTTTCCTTTGAACGTAAGGTGGGCCTAGAATGTTTTTTTTTCTTCTATACTGTAAGAAATATTTATCACACCGGAAATAAAGCTCTGAGAAAACTTCCTTCTTATTCTTTTGACTTTTCTGTTTATTCGAGGTTTAAAAGAATTTAAAAATGAAAAATAAAAGAAGTGATTCTTACTTCAGGATCCATAAGACGACACTTGGGTGTATTATCTTTATTACGTACACTCTCTTATTTCGTCGACGTTAGAATCAAAAACGTCAGACATTGTCTAATGTTTCAGTAATGAAATATTACACTAGGGAGTATGACTCGATTCAGATGCTTTCCATCTTTCTTTCTCTCTCCTTCTCTTTCTAAAGATGAGTATGAATTAATCAAATGCTATCTGAGGGAGCATGTGATCTCGTTATTTCATAGATAAAAAATGAACCTGACTTAATTTGTATTAATAGATTTGACTGCGTTTTACTTAACCCTTTTACTTAAACCCCTCCCTCGTGTATTTTTCAATTTATATTACGATTTATAAATATTTTAATTTAACTAATTAAATATATTATAAATTATTCATCACGACTGATCAATTTGAAAATATTTTTTCATTTGATTACATACACATTTGAATTTTTCAGACTGACGCCAAAATGGTGTTCGATGTAATCCAACGAATGGAAGACACCGAACCATTTAGTGAAGAACTTTTAATGGCCATGAAAAGGCTCTGGACTGATAATGGTGTCCAAGGATGTTTTGGAAGGAGCAATGAGTATCAACTTAACGATTCCGCCAAATAGTAAGTTGACATTAATCGATTATTATCTTTCACATCTTTACAATTGTATTCATTCAAGGATACAATTTAACACATTAGGATAACCAAAAATTCTAGTCTAATCTATGGTAATTGTTAAAAATTGTTTCAAATTACATATATTTGTTGGTAACAAATGTTTATTAGTTCATTTAATAGTAAAGATTTGATCTAAGTTGATAATTGGTAAAAATGGGCTTACTCGCAATCCTAGCTAACATTCCAGCTGTTTTCATATTATGCAAATCGGAAAATTAGATATGCAAAAGCTCTTCTTGCGCACGCGAACGCAAAACTCGTCTAGAGAACTAACATAAGTGAAGAAACAGGCCGAACGTGTAGACTGAAAGGCGCCGTATTCTCTTTCTCTCTTTCTCTCTTTAAGATTTTGTTAAACTTTCAGTGAAATCGATCTGTCATCTTTCGCTACTCGACTCCAGGTTTCAAACTCATCTCGGTCAAGCTCGTGTGTAATCTTTTATACATAAGAAAGAAAAAAAATGTTTCTTCTTCTTCTTCTGTTTCTTTATTTTTGTTGTCCTTCTATTTTTTATTCGAAAAACTTCATAGTACTTTTCTCGAATCGTCCAATAAATTACAATTTGATAAAAGTTACAGTTTGTGATTAAATGAATATTCAATAATATTAAAAAAAAAAGAAAAAAGGGAGAAAAATAATTCTCTATAGCAATATAAAAATATGAAAAATAATTTCAATAAGAAGAAATAAAAATCGACGTATATTTGAGGAAAAGAGGTATAACTATAGGAGTCACAACACGGGTTATTGCATGTTACCAGAAAATTGAACAAGTCACCTAAGGTGGTAGTCACGATATATAAAAACGAAACCTGATCACGAAATAGATAAACGAAGGAATTAAGAAATGGGGCTTTTGAATCTTTCGAAGTCGATCTATTTGAAGGGTTAAGAATAAATCCTGGGCTATTGTCTACATTGTCGTTGTCGTCGTTGTTAGTATCGTTGTTTCTAAGGTTCATCGACTTCCAACGACAAAGGCGTAGGCAGGGACGAGGTGAAAGTGTTCTCCGAAGGATAAATCCCTCTCCTTGTCTCTCTCTCTCTCTCTCTCTCTCTCTTTGGAATACGCAGAGCTTGCGCGTCCCCCGTGAGGATATTTTTGTAGTGCGTTAGCTACTTGACTATTGATTTTAGGGTGGAGTTTATAATAAGCTCGTGTTACGCAGGTACGCAAACGTACCTACGTACGTACGTACGTTCTTGTGTATGACGTTAAAATGTATATTGTATGATCATTAGATGACACGTATTAAGTGACGTTTTATAATATGTGTGTGGATCGTAATTATTATTATTTATTTATTTATTTATTCATTTATTTAAAATAAAAGATATATCAAATTGATTCATCAAATTATTCTTCTATAGTAAAATATACAATCGATTCCGATCGAGAAATCTTTAACGCCATGTTCGATCCTGGAATCGATTTTTTTTTTGTTTTCTGCGGTGCCCTCCTTTTTTAATATTTTTTCTTTTTTTACTTTTCATCAAAAGAATGGGACAACCCTGACCTTAGTTAGGGTCGTATAGACGAGACTAAATTCGCAACCCATTTCGTATCGTAGATTTTTGCTGACAGTTATTTTAGAAGGGTGGGAAAGGAAGGTATCGGTAATTTACTCTTACCCTTAACCTAACTTTGAGATTATCTGTTCTCTCTATCCTTCTCTTTTTCACCCTCTAAGAAACTTCGTCGATAGTACTGCATCAGCATCGCCTAAAGACTTTTCAACGTAAACGTCAGAAACCTCCTACCTGGCGCGTGCGTCAGAAAGAATGAAAGAAAGAAAGGAAAAAAAAGAAAAAGAAAAAGAAAAAGAAAAAGAAAAGAAGAATTGGAGAAAAACGAAAGAAAACAAAAATAAGTATAAAACGTAAAATAGTATCCATTAGTTTAATTGGAAATAATATTAAAAATATTTAATTTTCAATTTATTTAATAGAAACATTAAACGCAAAATTACAACTCTGTTAACTTCGTGTTTTAGATTGAATTTTCGATGATTTTATTAACAATGAAAAAGCTTGTAATTTAATAACACGAGTAGAAAATAATTGTATATAACTAAAAATATATATTTAATACCCAATTTAATTATGAAAAATGTGTAAAATCCATCAAACAGCTAAGTATGTTTGTCAATTTTCAATGATTTTATTCAACATCGAAGAAGCTTGGAAATTAATAATGAAACTAGAAGATATTTAAATATACATATATATATATATACGTATACACCCACCCTCTGCATATTTAAGCTGTGGCCGCGAGACAGTGTCCCTGGTCAGAAAGCGGAACCGTAAAGCTTTACTATTGGAGTAGGGCAGAAAAGCTCGCTTATAATATGAATTTCCTGAAGGAGTCGACGAGTCAGAGAATGGACTGCTGGTGGATAGAGGTTTGAGAGGGGGTTTGGGGTTCAGGGCTGGGGTGGAAAGCCACGGTGAATTTGAGGCGAAACAAAGGGGGTCGAAATAAGAGTAGGGAGATGAATTAAAAAAGGATGGACGTTATGCGGAGTGTGTTTCACAGAACCTACTCTTTCTCTCTCTCTCTCTCTCTCTCTCTCCTGCTCACCTCCTCCCCCAACCCCTCAACCTCTTCCTCCTTTCTTTATCTCTCTATCCTTCGCTCTCTGTCGTATTGATCGGCGATGACGTCACGCCACGCCCGTGTCACGTGACAGGGAAGATGGCCGACGTTGTTCCGCCGCGAACCTTCCCCTCCCTCCCTCCCCTATTTTCCTCTTTCCTTCTACCTCTTTCTCTCTCTTTTTTTTCTTTTCATCTTCACCAACTTCCACCATCACCACCCCTTCTCCATCTATCTTTATATTCTACCTTTGTTCCTTTCCCTATCTTTCTCTTACTTCCGTCAAAATCTAAAGCTCACCACCCCTCAAGGGAAGAAGAAGTAGAAGAAGAAGAAGTAGAAGAAGAAGAAGAAGACGAAGTAATAGTTGTAAAAGAAAAATAACTGGCAGTCGGATGGCAGGCTACAACGAGGAATATTCCCTTTTCTTATTTCACCCTTCACAACCTTCTTCTCCTCCTCCTCTCAACCCTATTTCCTCCTATCCCTTTCTATCTTTACTCCTTTTCTGTGCATCCAAGTTCTACCATCCAGATCCCAAGATACCAGCGGAGATCTCTACTCATTTTTTCCTTTCAACCAGGTTTATTTCGTGTGTCCATCTCAACCCTTCACCTCGTACCCTTTATCTTTTCAAACCAACCCCTCTCTCTCACCCCTATCTTTTCCTTCTTTTCTTATCTTCTTTTATTTGTTCTTTTCATCGATATTGCTTGGACTATTTCGGTTTCTTTTTTATTTTTCTTTAAGAATTAATTGAAATAAAAGTAAATTGTATTCGGTGGCGATAAACAAAGTGAAATGATTCCTCTCCATCGAGCTTTTTAGCCCCTTTTTCTTTCGGTCGTTGCGTCGCTTTCGTTGGGGCTGCCCGTGAAATATGGCGAATAAACCACAAAGATGGCGCTACTTGGTTCTTCTAACCTCCAAATCCTGATATACACGTTGCCTCGGATATAAATCTTGGAAATGGTTTTAACAGAGACTTTTATACACCAGATTTACACTTATGAACACACACACACACATACACATACGTACATAAATATATTTAAACGTTCGTTTATTTTAAAAGTTACATTTATATGATTCTATTTTTTTTACGACCATCCCAAAAACTTTACCCGTCTTGTCCTGTCCCGTTGAATTGTAAATTTTGTTGTTTTTTTCTTTAAAAATTTATTTGATTAATAGATATATATATGTATCAATAAAATCTATTCTCGTGTTACTCAGATTTACCTTTACCTATACAGTTGTAGCTGCCAACAAAGTTCTCGTTTTGTACTATCGGCTTACTCTTCGGCTACTTGTTGCGAGCCGCGCCCTAGCACGCGACTATTCCACACACATATACAGTATATACACACATGAACGTGTAATATACATGCATATCGTATGATTTTTACCTTCGATCGACTTCCACCCTTAAATTCAAAACAACAAACTAAACGTTAAAAATCTCGTTTAGGTATAATCCAAAGTTTTTATTCTCTTTTTCGAATATGAAATTATGCTATTCCGGCGTGCTGTCTTTCTCATGTTAAACAGGTATGTCTGACACGTCACACGAGAAGTTTTCTTATTTCGTTTGCCTATTGTAGAAAAGATACAGGAAGAGAAACGTTGATGGTTATTTCAAGACTTTTTCGTAACGTAGAAAAAGAACTTTGATCTTTTATTCACACACTTTTGGTAAAAAAGTATTTCAATGATTATTATTATCTCTAGGATTTAATATTAGTATTTTTTTTTATAATTATTATTATTATAAAAAGAAAATGTGTTCTTGTGGTATATGATAGGTTTAGATGTATATAGATATATGTCTTTTTTAATTTTCTAGGAATATAATCCGTAAGATTATTACTTGATATATATATGACATGTCTTTATTTAATATCTATCAAATGAATTTCATTCGATAGCAGCAGCTTACAAAATTTAATTCATTTTACAGCTTCCTGGACGACTTGGATCGATTAGGTGCAAGGGAATACCAACCAACGGAGCAAGATATTTTGAGGACTCGTGTAAAAACCACTGGTATCGTCGAGGTCCATTTCTCATTTAAAAACCTTAATTTTAAGTAAGTATATTATTTTTAAATAATGTACAAACTTATTGGACTATTTAATAACATATATATAATATATTTGCATATATTACAACAATACAAAAAAAATAATCAAAAATATAAATTATAACAATAGAATTATAAGAAGATTCTTGATCGAGAAAAGCAAGTATCATTTTTATTTTCTTCTTGTCAAACTAAATCGATAACATTAATCACGTCTTATTGTTAGACGCCTCAATGTGTTCACTCATTCCCATAATCTCGCGACGACGTTCCTATGACATTCCTAGATATGAAGAATATATATACGCGTAGTGTGTATTGTGAATGACCGTGTTAGATGAATCATTCTCGACGATTATAATAATTGACTGCATTTCTCCTGCAATACTATTCCAAATAAATTATTTTCAGGTGACTCAAATTTTATAATCACAATCTCTCTTTCATTCTTCCATTCTATTCTTAACTTTTTTTCTTATCTTATATTTTTCATTTATCTCTTTTTCTTCACAGATTATTCGACGTGGGTGGACAAAGAAGCGAACGTAAAAAATGGATACATTGTTTCGAGGATGTTACTGCGATTATATTCTGCGTTGCTATGTCCGAATATGATCAAGTCTTGCACGAGGACGAGACTACGGTAAGAGAAAATTCTTTGAGTTTTTTTTTTTTTTTAAATTAAAATCATATTCGATCAGAATTATCTCATCTTTTGAATGGTGGAACGACGTAATTACTTGAAAAAATGTATTCTCTGACAACGATCATTTTCAATATATTATTAATTCTCGTAATCGCGTGTATAGTATTATAAAAGATATGATCAATTTAATAAAATATGTTACTCCCCTCTCTCTCTCTTGTCTCATCTCGTAAATATATTTTATTTGAAAGCATTTATATTTCGTGAGTTAAACGGCACTTTGACTAAAAGATTAGAAGAGAAGAGAAGAAGAAGAAGAAGAAGAATAAAAATAAAAATAAAAGGAAAAAGAAAAAGAAGAAAAAAAAGTATGGGGATCAATTGTTAAGGTCATTGCACGTGGGAAGTCGTTGATTCAATTTCGAGTGGTTGCTGCTTAGTGGATGCTAACACGTACCTTTTCTTCTTTCCATGTCAAAGGTGTCTTATTTTAATGGACACAGAATATGATCTATAGATACAACAGAACATACACGCATACAAACGATCTCACAATTGTATTGTAAATCTACTTTATAGTAGGTTTAATCTCGCGTATATATCACTGTTCGACCTTTTCTCGAAAAGATAAGCTAACCAACTAAACGATATCGCACATATTATGATAACGTATAATATAAAACACTTGTTTTTTTTTAACATTATTTTTGCAGAACCGAATGCAAGAGAGTTTAAAATTATTCGATTCGATTTGCAACAACAAGTGGTTCACCGATACCTCGATCATACTTTTCTTAAACAAGAAGGATCTGTTCGAGGAAAAAATTCGCAAGTCTCCATTGACGATTTGCTTCCCAGAGTACGCAGGTATCGATCAAATTATTATTATTATTATCATTTATTATATTCATTTAACTTTCATTGTGTCAAAATCATTGTCGAACTTTTTTTTTAATCTATTGTCAACAAGTTTCATCTCTATCTGTGTGGTGTCATAATGTAAAATACAAATTATAATACATAATTATAAGAGGGTAAAAAAAACGAAATAAAAAGAAAAAGAAAAAGAAAAAAAAATGAATTGGTTATTGTTTAGGTGCGCAGGAATACAGTGACGCTGCAGCTTACATTCAGGCCCAATTCGAGGCGAAAAACAAATCGACGACGAAGGAGATTTACTGCCACATGACCTGTGCCACCGACACGAATAACATTCAATTTGTGTTCGATGCAGTCACAGATGTGATTATCGCCAATAATCTGCGTGGCTGCGGACTCTATTAGGTTAATCCGTATTCTATATTAAGCGCGAACAAAATTGGTATGACTATGACTATGACTATGACTACGACGACGATAACGAAAACGAAAACGACGAGGACGATGACTGTGGCAAAAGCAATGACGTTAATGACAATGACGATGACTACAACAATGATAATAATGATACTGATGCTGATAATTATGATGATGATGATGATGATGATGATGATGATGATGATGATGATGATGATGATGATGATGATGATGATGATGATGATGATGTTATTGAACAGGCGACGTTTGTCAGAGTCGAGAATTCGTTTTGGTTCGATCACGATTCCCCCCAGTTGGATTTGTGTGTTTAAAATTAATCGAGAATGATGATTAAATATATTACGATCATACATTTCAGAAAAAGGAAAACAAAATAAAACTGATAGCACAAATTCGTGGAACGAATGGGTCGGTAGAGAGACCTTTTCCTCTGTCTCGTGTATTTTTTAGAATATATATATATATATATTTTTGTTTTTTTATTTTCTATTTTTCATTTTTTGTTTTTTAAGTTTATTTTATTACGTTATTTTGTATACTGTCCTCACGAATGCGTGTGTCATATTGTATTTTCATTCTTTTATCGATGATAAAGAACGTTACTTCGAAGAGGGAAAATGAAAAAGAAAAAGAAAAAGAAAAATTCACGCATAAATGCTTCGAAATCGTCGACATACATTTATCCTCTCTACAATCTTGATACTTAACATATTACACGTATTACAAATATAAACGCACACATGAAAATATTCGAACGTGATTCAGTATAATAAAATGAGATGTCTATGAAACATGATCGAAAGCAATGTCGACGTGCTTTCGATGCTTTTCCTCGTTATTTGTTGTTTTTCTTTTTTATTTTTTTTTTTTTTTTTTTTTTTTTTTTTTCATTTATATCGTAATGCACACATTTTATATGCACACATCCGTATATATTATATTACTTGTACGTATTTATCCTATCGTAAATACAACGTTCACGCGCACATACGAGCATACGCACACGCGTTATACACATATGCAGATAAATATTACATATAAAATCAGTCGGAGAGAGAGAGAGAGAGAGTGAGAGATAGGAAAGAGTAAAATGATGCACATAAACAACGCGTATGTATACGTCATACCACGTATTCTTATAACTGCATCTACTTCTTTTTTTTTTTTTTATTATTATTATTATTATTCCTACATTTTATTACAAACTCGTCGACACAGTGTAATCGTTTAGTTGAAGATAAAACTAAAAGAACAATTTATTACAGAATCATGCAAATTTTTCATAAACGGGATTCAGATTACAATTAAAAGTAAATTTTGAGATAAAACGGAGAGGAAGTTTTGAAAAAAAAAGAAAAATGAAAATTAAGAAAGAAGAGAATAATATATTACAAATATGTACATTTTTTCGTCGCGCACAATCCTAATATCTAATTCACCTATCTCGAGTATATATATTATACATCTATATATATATTTATATATAAGTTATATATATTTTATTACCGTATTAAAAGTTGGAGGCAGAAGGGGTGGGAGGGTGGAACGAAATGGAATCAGAAAAGTTTTGACCAAAGTAAAAAGGATTTCGTTCGAAACGAAACAAGAGAAAAAAGATTTAAAAAAAGAAAAAAAAGAAAAAGATATATTATAAACACGGCATCGTTTGTTCGTCGTTTGAAAAAAAAATTCATTTCAAGAAAATATGAATGGAAAGAAAGAAGGGAAGAAAGGACTATATCTCGTCATAATTTTCTTCGATGATTCTCGGTCTCTCAGGACGTCGCACTGTCGCAGGATCGGCAGGACAAAAAATAAAAAAAAAAGAGTGAGAGAGAAAGAAAAAAAGAAAAAAGAAAGGAAAAGAATAAGAAAAAATTTATCGTGTATGTATTAACCAAATAATAATAATAATTATTATAATAATATTAATAATAATAATAATAATAATAATAATAATAATAATAATAATAATAAATATAAAAAAACTAAAAAACCGAATTTGTTCGTGAATGACAAAAAGATCGAAGTACGTAGAAGTGACTTTTTAATGTTCATCGTTTTGAGAGGATACTAATTTGTCACTTTGAGAGAAGAACTTAGGATATATTCAAGAGAACAAGAAAAAGAAAAAAGAAGAAGAAGAAAATATAAAGAGCGAGTCGCCGATAAGAGAAGAAGAAGAAGAAGAAGAAGAAGAAGAAGAAGAAGAAGAAGAAGAAGAAGAAGAAGAAGAAGAAGAAGAAGAAGAAGAAGAGAAAAAGAAAATAAAATACCCGTGATAAATTAAATTGCGAGATATGTGAAGACAAAAAACTGTAAGAACAATATTGATAGATATAAAAATGCAGGCCGGTAATGACGCTAGTCCTTGGCGAATGGAAACCTTTTTTCGAAAATTAGATTTGCATCTAAAGAAAAATATGTAAAGTGAGGAAAAGGGGGGGAGTGACAGAACGAAGAGGGAGATAAGATTCTTTTAATTAAGAAGAAAATTTACCAAATATAATGAGTCGCGTGCCAATGTGCATAAAAAAACGTGTGAGTGAGAGTGAGAGAGTGAGTAAGAGAGAGAGAGAGAGAGAGAGAAAGAGAGAGAGAACAAGAAAGATTAAATAATATCTTATATAGTCGAGATAATTAAAAAAAATGAAACGAGAAAATAAAAAATAATAAAATAAATAATTAAATAATTATAAATGAAAGAAAAAAAAAGAGTGACGTTGTTATGCAATTCAATGATAAACCTCGAGTCGTTAGTCGAGACTGATGTGAGAGAAGCCGATGAGGCTAATTAAAAAAAAGAAGAAAAAAAAAAAAGAAAGAAAGGAAAAAGGGAAAAAATAAGAAAAAGTATAGTTACCGTTTATTACAAATAAAAAAGAAAGAAATAAAAAAAAAAAGATATAAAATAAAATAATGATGATAAAAACACAAAAAAATACGACGACGTACCGTTGTGTAATGTTAGACTCGCTCGTCCGTAAATTTCCTTTTTTCTTTCACGTGTTGCATTTATTTTTTTTCTTTTTCTCTTTTTATTTTTTATATTCGAGAATATGAAAAATATGCAAAGTGCAAAGAAAATATGGGACATTCGTCTGACCCAACAGACGTATTCTCTATATATTATTACATATTTATGTTCGATAACTGAACGGTTTGAATGATGAAAAAAAAAAAGAAATAATCAAATTAATAAACGGACGTTCGATTCTTTCATCGAGATATCATCGTATAACGAGTTACCATCGATATCATCGTTGTCTTTAAAAAAAAAAACGAGAAAAATTCGAAAGAAAGTTATATCGATGAACTCACGATTCTAGTCAGAACAAAAAAAACGTGTTTTACGAATCTCGTTTTGCGTTGGTTCGATTAACACGGCAAACGTTTGAATGTGGGACGAGATAAGATGAGATGAGATGAGAGAAAATAAAAATAAAATTAAATAAAAATACATAAATGTATGTGTATAAAAAAAGATCGAGAGAATGATTAAAAAAAAAAAAACATTGTGTGAATCAGAATGAAAGTGAGTGGGTGTGTGAGTAGTAAGAAGAAAATAACAACGATAGAGGAAACGAAGGTAATGAACAAATAGGACGATGGTGATTAAAAAATTGACAGAAAACTTGTGAGTAATTGAAATTTCTCCTGTTTTCAAAGAAAGCGTGAGAGAGAACAGGAATTAGAAGAAAATAAAATAGAAAGAGAGTGAGAGAGAGAGAGAGAGAGAGAGAGAGAGAGAGAGAGAGAGAGAGAGAGAGAATGTAAAAATTAACCCCAAAATTTATAAAGATTATTTATTAATTTGTAAGTTACGAAAATAAACGTCCCGGTAATTATGATAGTGTTGGCGTAAGTCGAAAAATTATATTCATTTATTTTATAATATAATAGAAGAGTAATTTCAATATCAAATAAATCATAAAATTCCTTTTTTCTTTTTCTGGTTTAGTCCACACTGGCATAATTATCGGTACTTATGTGAATCTGGTATTAAACAATGTTTCTGTGTAAATGCGAAAAAATGTATAATTGTGAAGAAAAACTATAGCGATCTGACTCGTCACATAATCGATATCATTATTTTAAAATCATATTGATCTATCGAAAATACTTCCATGGTTGGAGAAGATCGTAATAGAACATTTGTCTTTTTTTTTTTTTTTTTTTATATATCGTCTGGAACAAAACTTTTCTATTTTGTGTGTCATTTTATTTTATCAAAAAAATCTCTGTTTTCCTAGATAAATCATTTTTATGCGTCGATGGGGGGAGGGGACCACACACCCCATACACGCGCGTTCTGATTAAACGAGAGTGAAAGTAACTTTGACCTTTTTCACATTTCTCGATCTCATTCGCATTTCCATAAGACATTCCATGTTTTATTAATATAAAAACAAAAGAAAAAAATCAAGAATTCGCGCATTGAAAAAGAGAGAAAATATAAATAAATAAATAAATGAAAAGAAGAAGAAGAAGAAGAAGAATTAAAAAAAAAGAAAGGAAGAAAAATAATGAAGATAATAAGACGCGTATACCTATCAGCTCACCCGTGTCTTATCAATTTTGTTGAATCTCGGCGTGAGCCTTCTTACCTTTTTATCGGCATATACACGTTTCCAAAAGGTGGGTTACGCCCGATAAAGAAAAGAAAAGAAAACTCGAAGAAAAAAAGGGAAAAAGATTAAGAAAGAAGAAAGAAATGAAACATCGTAATATCGAAGAAGAAGAATAATACCGTTCGATTTTAATCGAAATACGAAGAAGAAAAGGAAGAAAAAGAAGAAGTAAAGGATGAAAAGATTGGTGAAGGGTTGGGTGGTAAGGGGAAGGGAATGGAAAGGAAACGAGACTCGATCGATTAGTTTATTTATTATTTATCGATTAGAAACTATTATTTGTTTCCATTTATATATATATATATATATATTTCGTTCTTATTGATAACAAACAAAAAAAACTATTTAACGTTTAGATATTTTTGTTTGTTTATTAGAATTTTTGGTTTCATTTAGGTATATCGAAAATGTACGAAAAGATATTTATATTAATTTTCCTGATTCGCGATTGATTCTAATTTTTGAACAAAAAAAAAATAGGATCAATATCGAACGATACATATTGTTGATTTTTATTGTTCGATTTTTTATCGTAGTACGATTATTTGAATTGACTTTTTTCGTACCTGTCTTTATTCATCCTTTCCTCCTTTCATCCTTCCTTTCTATTTTTCTTTCTTTCTTTCTTTCTTTCTTTCTTTCTTTCTTTACTTTCTTTCAAATCTTCTCTTTTCTATTGTATTTTTCTCTTTCTACTTACCCGCGTCGTTACTCATTTACTAGAATTTTTTTAGGCATAGTAGTCGATAATATATATATATATAGGGAGAAAGAAAGAGAGAGAGAGAGAGAGAGAGAGAGAGAGAGAGAGAGAGAGAGAGAGATATTAATATGTCTTTATAGATAATATGTGTGTGTATATATATACGTATGTATTATATGTAGATATGTATGTAGTGTTACATCGAACTGAGCCAA